ATTCGGCGCAATTGTTCCTCTTGCTCACGAGCCTCCTTCTTCTCTTCTTCCGGGGACGGAATATACGCATTTGCAGCACCACCTGTATACATCGGAGTCACGATCAGCATGCTAGTCAATATAACATAGGTCCCTTCGATAACATACCCCGTCCGGTGTGATGAGGAGCCTCCTCGACACGCAATGGCGGCGCCTCTACATCCTGACTCTCGCGCGCAATCTCCGGGTGCTCTGGATCGTTTACGACCATATTTCCTGAGCCGCCGCGACCGGTGGTATAAACTTCTTGCTTGATCGTGGGTGTGACGAGATCTTTCGGGGTTGTATGGCTTTCACCGGAGAAAATATTGCCTGCGTGTCGTCAAAAACAAGTTCCAAAATTCATATAGCTTCAGGGGTCTACGTACCTGCGCCTCCGCGGCCGTAAGATACGTAGCGACTCATGGTTGCGAGTACCTGCTCAAGGGAACGTGAATAGCCGAATGTATAAAGGGCGTTGGCGGGGAAAGGCTGCGATCGGGTAGTGGGTTTGCGCAGTGGGTTTGCAGGCAATGGGAGGGGTCTCAGATGGGATTCCAGATAATTAAATGAACCGAGAAAATAGGAACCAGTAAGGTAAACAGGGCTGACACGCAGTGGCGAAGGGGGAAAATTCTGTAAGTTTGATCGGGGCCAAGAAGCAGCCCCTCTAGAACGCCAAAAGAACTTCTTGATGAAAGCCGTTGCTCTTGGCGCGTGATGGCGATTTTTCCGCACGTTTGCGGAATGATGTGATTTTGGGTTTCTTATCTAATCAGGTGCCTGGGGTTCACCTGATCTGAGATCGGTTTACTCCATACTGTACATTTATCAAATTTACAAAGCATAGTATAGTAAACTGTGCTCGGGGTCTCCTTCCCCACGTCCCTGACCCCTTGGTGGATCCACTGTGCAGGGCGATTGAAGTGGACTGGACTCCGTATCCATTATCCATGGGGAATATCCCTGCGCCTCATCCACTTCGCTACTGTGGATTTTGTCCATTTGTACAAAGAATGCACTGCAATCATGGCTACATTCGCGTTACCCGATGAAAGTATACAATACACTGCTAATGAACTACTAGATACCTGGTTTATACTTTCTGTACAGCATGGCGAGCTCTTTCCGTTGGTCCGCGATGGCCTTGCCCTAGCAAGATACCATAGTACTACCTGCCTCAGGCTCATGAATATTCCATATATCGTCGCTCCTGCTCCTCTAAGCAAGTCCAACACGATACACTCTGAAGCACGCTCTACAGAGCTCCTTCCTCGTCAGACCACAATGCTCTACAGGATGGACCTTCATCTTTTAACCCCTAAAATTCTTCAACATATCCCATCACTCACTATACACCCCATTCGTACCAATTATACATCACGTTCAATTAAATAGTTGATTTTATTCTCTTATCATCACACTCTCTTTCACTCTTGCCTACTATTACCCTTCATCCATGTGCTTTTACCTCATCGCGGATATCATACTCGACGTCCTCTCCCTAATTGCTCTGATATTTAGAATCTTGCAGAAGCTCCTCAGATTACCGTTTGCATTTTGGCGCACCCTAGTCGAGTGGAATCAGAGTATCCAAAGAGGGATTCGACATCTCTTAATGCCCAGAATAAATGCTAACGGAGATATCTTCAATGCTCCTGTCCCTAACGATATACCGGGGACGTTAAGGCGCCGCACATTACGTATTGCACCAGTTAATGGGACTTGGAATGAGACCACCGGGACCACCCCTTCATTCGTCGTTACTCACTATGATGACGATAGCAATAATGATGATTTGCATGGGACTGAGCGAGGTGTGGAGGGGTCTTTGGCAGCTAGTGTTGATGAGCTGATCGCAGCCGAGGGACAGCGATCAGAGCAAGGGGCACAGGAGCAAGAACCTCACCAGCCTAGGCCACAACAGCTTGGACAGCAACCGTTAGGACAGCAACGGTCAGAGCCCCTCGGGCATGAACTACAACAGCTAGGACCACAACAACAGTCATCAGAGCTCTCACCACGTGAACCCATGCCGCGTGAGAGAGTTCTACCACAGCAGGACTCAGGAGAGCCTAGTGGGCCTGTGCAACTCGTTGGCTTTCATGACGTAGTTCGTCTCACAGCCTCCACTTCAGCACCTATGCCAAATAGTGGGCAACTTAGAGCGAATCCTCTGCCTATACATTTTGGACCAAATGGAATACAGCGTAAGCGCGCATATGTACGATGAGAATGAAGATAGAAAAGCTGATGAATACAGCGCGTGGATATGCGTCTCCCAGGTTACCCGGCTACCCTGAGCCGCTTCCGAGCCAGTTAACGCAAGGAAGAGATATTATGATGCCTAGTACATTCCCAGCTAGATCAGAATACGGGGGAAGGGAAAGGAACATTGAAGAGCATTGATGTCGTGGTCACCGAAAAAGAGCTTATCCAAAAGATTCGAATCACTGTCATAAATTTCCGAATTGTCAGGGAAGTAAGTCGCTTCGAACAAGCCGATGTTCATGGTGTGTTAACTCATTGCAGGCTTTGTATTGGCCCAGCATGCATTAAGTTGTTTCAGTGTCTTTCTTTCTCTCGGTTCTTGTTTGCCTGTACTGTCTACAAAGATAGTATGTATTACTATAGCCGCAATATGCTCTTTCGTAACGTTGAAGACAAATACTGAAGAATGCAATGCGCCTTGTGCGCCTTGTGTTTAATATATATTTCAGTGTTAAGTTTGGCTCCTGGTAATTGTAATCACCAGGTACAGACCATAAGCATGTATTATAGCTCGAACTGGCAACGACTTCGAGTAAGGCGTCGTTCCCTGAGACATTGTCGACTGGAGGGTACATTCGCCTGCCCAACCCACTTCTTGGTGGGTGGGGAGTCAAAAGGAAAAGATAAAAAGAACCCCCTCTGTATATACACTTTGGTATGGAGAGCAGAACCAGCGGTTGTATATCGTGTGCCTGCAATAACACATCTTAACGGCAAATCACAACCATCACCCCGTATGCAAAGCATCCTGTGTAAAATGAAGATGAAACAAATCTAGAGTATGCGAGTATGTAATTCATAAGTATGTACAATCATAAAACCTCATTGACATAGCAGCCTCTCATAAGCATATCCACATAAGAGCTCGAGGAGCTTCCCATCTCGAACAACTCATAAAAACGAAAAGACCCCCTCATGTCCAGTGTACCGAGCGTCATTTACCGCGGCCAATAAGTATCAACCATATGCCCACCATACGGCATCAACTCATACTCGGAATAGGCCTTCTCAAACTCCATGCTCCAAACTCCATGCGCGCCGCGAACAGAGTACTCTCCCTTTCGCCATTTCTTCTCGTCTTCTTTATACGACGCCGCACCGACATGCTGCATCTGCGGCGGCGCAATCGCCAACCGATCGAACCCATATTCATTCGCCAGTCGTTCCAGCGTAGAGTCCACCGGCTTCGGCTTCGTTGCATCCTCCATCTTCTTCATATACTCGAGGATATCGGGGACCTTCTCCCGCGGGAAAACCAGCGCCTGCGAACAACACCCGTGTCGATTCATCAAGTGCACGCCGGGCCGCATGGGTCTCTGCACCGTTACGCGCCCCGAGGCGAAATACAGGAGAATGACGGCGGGCACGGCGGCGAAGCAAACCAGGCCCAGGAAAGCGTTGGAGAGGATTTCGTGTGCGGGGCGCACGGTCCGCCTGAGACAAAGACACAGCGCCGCGACGGCGACGGTGGCCGCAAGGCTCCAGAGGAGATACTCTCTCCAGTTCTGGGCGTTCCAGCCGAGGAACTTCTCGGTGTAGAAGAGACGGAGGTAGAGCCAGTCGCGGGGCACGACGCCGCGACGGACCCATTCCTCGATGCTGTGGAGGGTTTGGGTGGTGGTTGGGAACCAGTTGCGCTGGGCGACGACGTCGTCTTCCAGCATGAGGAAGTAGGGCGCATCGGTGGTGTCGTAGCAGGAACGGAGGGAGATGGCGTAGTCGATGAGGGATTTCTCCGCGGTGAATTTCTTGTTTGCTTCGAGGGTGCGCAGGTAGGATGTGGTGGCGGAGATGTTCTGGGTGTCGTAGGTTAGGACACGATTGACGGTGTTGTGCACCCAGGGGTGGTTGTAGTCCGGGTGGTCGGTGGGCGTGGTGAGCGCGAAGAGGAGGTGGATGGAGATCTGGGAGCGCTGGTGCTGGCTTAGGCTGTCGATCAGGGAGGCGATGGTTGTGTCGATGTTTTGGGCGAGGGGCCGCTTGACGGTCACGATGCCACGCAGAGGTCTACATGTTCCTTTGTGGTTGGTGGTGCTTGGTTAGGGGGTGTGCTGGTTGTTTGGTTGAAGCGTGCGAGGTAGTGTAGGGATTCTTGGATTCGGGTGAGGCTGTATGCAGGACGGTAGCCTTCGTGTGGCTGGAAGAAGTATGAGCCTGGGTCGCGGGCGGAATTGGCGCGACAGATGAAGAAGAGGATGAAGTAGAGGATGGCGAAGGTGATTAGAGAAAGCCTCTGCTTTCTGTTGGGGAACCGCATTGGGACATGATTTCTCGAGGGGTAAGTATATCTCCCACGGGAGGTAAGATCGGTAGAGAATAATAGCAACCCTGGGACCTAGGGGGGAGATAAAAAGGTTCAGATCGGAGTCCGTGGATGACCCGAGAAAAACAAGGCACACTTCACACACGGGGAAGGCGCATGGGAACTTACCATAATCGTGGAAATTTTCCCATGAACGATAGTCCACATGGGGGCGTTGATACGAGGAAAGGGACGCTAAAAGTCTTGGGCCCAGAAACAAGCAACGGGGCTGTGGAGCTCCAGTCCAGCCTTCATCCCTATCAAGCTTCATGCTGCAGGTGGAGCAACCGTGTTACGATTTTATCCTGGTGTCTTGACTAGTGGCCGTGTAAGCCATGACACAGCATCAGCCCTGTTCATGGTTTCACCATTGGCCCGAGTGTCAACTGGCAGGGACCATTTTCTATTTCAGTTCATGGCCCAACTGAGACATCGGGATCGAACTTATGCAGCATCGTCGCCTCGAAAACACCATTTCCCCTTCGTGTGTTGGTCGCGTCGGGAAATTCCGCGATGATCTGTCATCAGCATTCCAGTTGAGGTATGGCAGGAGGGCTGTGCTTCTCGGAGGAAACTGGACAATAGATACGAAGTGCGACCCATGTTAAGCGTCATACTTTTGACGTGAGGTATAGAGAGTACTGTGGATATTACCCCCCAATGCGGCACGAGGTGAATTGACCATCTGTCCACCAAAAAGGATAGACTTGATAGCCTCGATCCAATATAGGTGATAGATCTTCTCAGGTTGAAGAAGAGGGAGGGTGTAAGAGAGGTAAGAAATGCAAAAAGGAAACAAAAAAAGATGTTGACGAGAGTGGGATTTGAACCCACGCCCCTTTCGAGACTGGAACCTTACTCCAGCTGAGAGATTATTAGTTATTTGTATGACAAGATAAGGATTTAATAGTGGTACTAACCGCCTTAGACCGCTCGGCCATCTCGCCTTGGTTGTAGACTGGTAGGTATATAATGCTAAATAGTGTTACTCTAGCAAACAGAAAATCGCAAAATGAAAAAAATAATTGAGATCCTCCAACAGTCAACTCCGAACGCATTCATAGCCACATCAAGGTGACTGGGGACGTATTTTATCTGTAACTTGCAATTGAAATCTCCAGGTGGCTGGGTAAATCTTCGGTGATACTGGTTATTATCTAGATGATAAACAGAGTTTTGTTATCTAAGATGGTATCTGATAGTTGTTTGTACACGAAATATATAAAGATAGACACCAGCAACAATGAAGGTTGTTGCCGGTTCCTCTAACATCTGTGCACATATACTCCCAGGTATGCTTAGAAAGGGCTACATGACCTCCTGTGATATCACTAAATTGAACATGGAGGCACCGTATATGCGCCAGGCAGACGGGAAACAGTGCGTTTAATGTATACAGGGCATGGGACGCTGGAAGAGCTGTAGTGACCATGATCTGATATCATGAAGATTAGCGAAGCAAGAATATCTAAACAAAGCAGAATCCTAGAATTGAAGTCAAGGAGGGGAAGGGAGAAAAGTTGGTAGACAGGTCATCCAAGAATACTTTGTAGTGTAGGGAATACTATGTTAAACTTGAATGCTACTTACCTAGGAGATCTGATTAGGATCACGCACCAACGAGAACTAGCTGCGAGACGCATTGCCCACGAACTCATAACTGCCAGTGCCGGAATGGCAAACCAAGTACACTGAATGCGAAAGTAATTGTTCCCGTGTGTAACCCTAGGAGCACGCTCGCCATTATATTAATTTAAATGTTGGAAATCTGGGTTAATTCTGATATAGGGCATGCCTTGCGGCAACCGCCTTTGGTCTCGTGTCAACTTAACGAAAACTTATTTTACCCTAGGTATGGCCACTACAGCTGGAGTGGTGACAAAGTAAGTTGATGGTTGGCGTCAGCAGCTATGGCTGTTCCTTTGAAATACGGGGTACACAGGTAGCATGTGTACTTATACTGGCCCTTGTCTGGCACAACATCTAGACGACATACAGGTCAGGCCGGTGAACGTTGAGATTAATGAGATGATTGATAAGAATCCATCTGCCACCGTGGGGTGCCTTGAAGTTTTTGACCTTGGAATTAAGAATACCTTATTTATCATGAAGATTTGGAAATGGAACGTACTTGAAATACTACGGTAGAGAAGGCAGAGCCCACCAGGTCCATGTCCTATTATCTTCACGCAATATACTGGTATCAATTACACCTACTGATTAGTATTTCGAATTTAGGTCAAGTTTTCTGTACTTCCTAATATTTGTTCCCCCCTCTTTTTCTCTTGTCTACTTTTTCGAAAGTGAGCATTCGCTTTAACCTATATTAATCTAATACAAAGAACAGCATCTGAGTCCTTTGTATACACATGAATATACCAAACATATAGAATAATCTACGCGAACACTAACTAGTAAGACCATCCCGAGGACCGGCTTCTCCGCATTTTTGTGGGGTACTGGACGTTTGCTCCACCCCCCATCAACAACGCAGTTACCGAGCATGCCTCGGGAGAAGCCCTTCTATCAGTAATCGCCGATTATATCTTACAATTCAACATAAAAGATGAGGGGCTCCAGCCAGCGCAATATAAGCACCGCACCCGGACCAAAAAAAAGTATGACAGCAAATACATCCACAAATCCATGAAACATTGACCTAAAAAGCACGCCAAAATGTCCTCAAACGCAGCATCTACTGTGATCCCTCCATCCTACGAGAAGCTCCCCACAACACACATCAAGGTCTCCCACTACCCTGCGGGCGCTGAAACGGCCACACCGGTTGTGGTGGTCGTATTGAACCGGCCGGAGAAGCGCAATGCCTTCACCGGGCCCATGGCGGAGGATTTGGAGAGGGTCTTTGCTATGTTTGATGTGGATGAGCGGGTCAAGGTAGTCGTCTTGACCGGTGCTGGCAATACATTCTGTGCTGGCGCGGATCTGGAAATTGGGTTCCCCAAGGGACGTGATGAGAAGCCGATGGATCATCGAGATAGGTAAGTTTGCGGATTAGACTTGTCTATTCGATTGAGAACGATACAGTACTGAAGTTAAGACAGTGGCGGTCGAGTAGCCCTCGCAATTCACCGCTGCAGCAAGCCAACCATCGCCGCAATGCAAGGCTCAGCTGTCGGCGTTGGCATGACCATGACCTTACCTGCCGTAATCAGGTAATTAACTACATGCACACCAGATAACTACACAAAGCCGGACATCACTAACAAAAAAACCCTTCAAACAGAGTCGCCCACGCAACCAGTAAATACGGCTTCGTCTTCGCCCGCAGAGGCATCACCATGGAATCCTGCTCGGCATACTTCCTCCCCAGACTAATCGGCTACAGCAAGGCCCTCTACCTCGTGTCCACGGGGAGCGTTCTCCCTCCACGTCTCCGCATTTCGGGGGCCTGTTTGCCGAGACACTCGCCGAGCAATCGGAGGTCCTGCCGCGGGCGTTGACGCTGGCGACCGACATCGCAGAGAACACGAGCACGATGGCGAATGGACTCAATCGGGCGCTGATCTGGCGCGGGCCTGAGTCGGCCGAGGAGGCGCATTTGTTGGATTCGCCGATTATTTATCATATGTTTGGGTCTAGGTATGTTGGTTCCAATTTCTTTTCTTTTGGTCTTTTGCTTGGCGGTGAGGCTTACTTTGGGGGTTTTGTAGGGATAATAAGGAGGGTGTTCAATCTTTCTTCGAGAAGCGGAAGCCGAATTTTAGGGATACGCTGGTGGATAATGGACCGGCGATGTATCCTTGGTGGACTGAGGCGGATATTAGCAGGAAGCCGAATATTGTGAAGGGAGATTCTAAGTTGTAGACGAATGATTCTGGCTACTCGAGCTGCGTCTTCGGCATCAAAGTCCTAGACTGAACTGAAATGGTCAATTCACATGGGTTCCGGCTGGCTATACAATGTCAATAATCAAGCATGATAAACCCATACAGGTTAAATTTAGTAAAGGAAGTAAGCGCTCAGATACACATCGACGTTGTCAAGATACTCATACAGGAAAGGTGTGCAGAACCCACAAACAAAGAAAATAAGGACCGGAATGTTAAGATGCCATAAATGAAACCCAGGCTATGGGCTCTCATGTTAATTGTTCGCCATAACAGATGCAAAGAATGTCCATATCTAGAGGATAAAGTTGCGCCTCTTGCGGTTATACACACGCTGATCCTTCAGCCACTGGCGGTATCCCTGCACGCTACCAATCTTCTCGCCGTAGTAATCAGGGACGGGGTTAGCGATGGAGTTCGAAGAGGGATCAACGCGGAAGCGCTTGATTCGGTCGTAGAACTCCTTCTCTTTCTGTGACGGAATTCGGGTTAGTAACAATGCGGCCAACCGAGCAGCTATGCACCGTAGATCGAGAAACAAGGATAAAACTCACGATCATAAAGGCCTGTCTATACCGCCGATTAACCAACCCCCACGCCGCATTACCAACAAAGGGCCCAATCAGCCAACCCACAGCACCACAAGCCGCGGTAGCCATTCCCAGAACAACGAAGGGGTCCAGACCCATCACCTGCGCACCCAAGGATTCAAGGTCCTGGCTGGAAAGAACCTGCACACCAACGACAGTACTAGCCATCGAGGACACCACAGAAGAAGCGAGCGAATAGCGACGACGAGAGGCGCGGAGCTGGAAGAACGAGTTCCAGGTCAGTTTGGCGGCTTCCTTGCGAGTTGCCTCCGAGACTGTGGAGTTTGTCCGCATTGACGCAACACGGTAAGTGGGCATCTGGACCTGGGGACGAGCACATGGCGCCTTGAAGCCGGTCTTGATCTGTGCGGAGGTACTGGCTGGTCGTGCCTGGCAGAGGGTCTGGTACAGTGCCGTTGAATTGCCTGGGAATGCAACCGAGGGGAGGGTTTTTGAGGAAATACGTCCGAAAACCATCGCGGTGCGCACTGGGGCGCTGATCGAGGTCGCGTGCATCCTGGAGGGTGTTGTGAGCAAAATGCAGAGGTGATTGTCGTCGATGTGGATGCGGAGTTGAGTTCGGGTTTGGCTAATGTACGGATGGAGCTTTGATGGGATTATGTAAGCGACATGGCTTCCTCATGGGGTATGAGGTCATTTTTTTTACGTTATGTGAAAGATATGCAGCAAACAATGCAGATTTAAATACTTGGATTGAATCTACCTAGGTGAGGGTGTCTGTTCTTCTTTTTCGTTCTTGTTTCTAACCGTTGGTAGTTCTTCTTGTGCCTGAGCGTCAAATGTGTATGGATTGGTATATCTTTAGTTTGCTGTCTCATAAAATCGTATGATTAGAGTGCCAGCGGACCCTAGAGTGTACTAGGACTAGGGCACGGCACAGCCATAAGGCACGATTCATTGTCATACGTATATATGCCGCTTATATACATACATACACCATCTGTATCACAAAGGCGTTCCTTGTTGATCTCAGTGCCAAGAGCACAATCAGCTCTCCTTGAGTCCTACATTCTTGTTCACAGGGCTGAACAAGCGGCATATCGACAACACTATAACTTCGCCCGTGGTTCCATCGACTTCTTTGCCTGTTCCCTTAGTAGTCGTCGAAGTATCTTTCCGGATGAGCTTTTCGGAATTTCTTTCGTAAACACCACGCCTCCCCGAAGCTGCTTATGGCGCGCCATATTTGACTTGACGTGCGTTTTTAATTCTTCCTCAGAAATGCTTCTATTGTTCTCTACCACGACATATGCTCGGGGCAGCTCGTTCCCCGGTGCTGATTGGTCTGGCACTCCAACGACAGCAGCATCTGCTACGCATTCATGGCCAAGGAGACAAGCCTCTACCTCTACCGGGGAGACCTGAAGTCCTTTGTATTTGATAAGTTCCTGGTAACTTATTAGCCTGTCATAACAACGTACATATGCAGTAATACGCGGTCTCACCTTCTTTCTATCCACCATGTAAATTCGGCCGTTGTTCCAGACGCCAATATCTCCAGTTCGGAACCATCCGTTGGGCGCGAAAGCCGCTGCAGTAGCTTCTGGGTTCTCAAAGTAACCCTTCGTGACCATGGGCCCTTTAACCAAGATTTCTCCCTCCATGCCTTGTTCAACATCCCTATCTTGCTCATCCACAATGCGGAGTCTCGTATTCGGCAGCAAAGGGCTGATACTCCCCGTGCTATCCGCCTGACCCCAAGGCATTGTGGTCACACTTCCAGTAGACTCGGTCATTCCCCAGCGTTGACTGATGGTACAGCCCAATTTCTTCTCCGCACGTCGCTGGACCTCCGTAGATAACGGCGCAGCCCCCGACTCCGCTCGGATCAAACTATCGAAATGATCCGTGACCCGTGAACTCTCCGCAACAGCAAGATAGACCGGCGGCGCAGTAGCCAGAAACGTAACCTGATACTTTTTACAATAGTCCATGAACTCGTCAATGTTGAACTTCGGCATCCAGTACACGGTACCTCCCGCAACGCCAGGAGTAATAAAATATCCCAGACAACCCGCAATATGCGCAGTAGGAAGATGACCAATCGTCCGATAAGGGACTTCAAGATGCGGTTTTCCCTTTCTGGATTCGCGAAGGACCCATTGCGGGATAATTGCCTCAGAAACAAGGTTCATGTTAGACAGCATAACACCTTTTGGAGCTCCGGTAGTGCCGCTCGAAAATAGTAGGCAGATGAGTCTTGTTTCTAGCTCGATTCGATCCGTGACTCGCTCCCAGTCCAGCTCTTTTCTACTCTGGAGATAGTTTCTCTGGGGGTTCGCTGTATCCCGAAGTAAGCGTCTGTGGCCTGAGCTCTCGAGGATCAGAACGCGCTCCACGGGAATCCCGCAGGCAAGCGCCGCTTTCAGAGCTTTCGCTTCGTTATCCGCACTAGCGATGATCAATTTGCTTTTTGACTGTTGGATCTGTCGAGAGAGTTCCGATTCTGTAAAGGCCGTCGATGCTGCGGTATACACTCCCCCTGCGGCGATGATGGCAAAGAACACCGCTGGAAGAAGTACTTGGTTAGATGAGATACAGAGAACTGTGTCTTTTCCGGCGCCATTGTTTCCGATCCCAAAGTCGGTGCGGAATACATGTGCGAGGCGCTTGGTGATGGCTCGGGTTTGGGCTTTGGTGACGTTGTTTGTTGGATCTGCGGCTTCAGCGTGGAGAACGGTAGTTCCGTGGTTAGTGAGAGAGGGGAATCTATGGGTCGTATTAGTTGTACAGATATATAGATGATAGTATGGGGTTTATGTACCAAACAGTAAGGAGAGGAGGTCGATGTTCGGAACATCGTAGTCTTTTGCTGGGAGGTATTGCATGCTGGAGGCGAACCACTACACAGATTAGACTCTCTTGGGATAAATTTAGTAATTGATTGAATCATGGCCAGTCAACGAACTGTTTCTAAAGTTTATTTATATAACTAGTTATTTAGAGTCTCGGCTATACAAAATGCGGGGAAACCCGAGGTTGGTGTGCTGAGGGGAATAACATCATTAACTCTCGAACTGTTCTATTCTTCCAGTGTCCTCTCCGGCCCACTTGTAAAACGACATGTATAAGAATCTATCGACATATAAGTGCAAATGCTCTATATTCATCGAGACACTCTAGAGCTCTGTTGCTAATGTCATTCGCTGAAGATGCTGAAGATGATAAGTTCTAAAGCTGATTAGAAAGATCGCACGGTTTAAAGGCTACCATTCTGAGAGATAGCGCCAGGGCGAGAATGCGGCTTAGAATGGGTCCCATAACCATTCACGCGGCCGTAGAGCCACTTCAGGGTGCCGGTACTCAGAGCCATCACGGCGGCACTGAGGGCAAACAGTCCGATGCGGCCTTCAAAAGGAAGTTGCTCGAAGATTGGATAAGGGTACCTGGAGAGATTAGTACCTAGCTAATGGTATTTGCAAAACAGTGACAAACCATCCGTTATACGAGAAGCAACGTTCGATCCAGAACCAGTACCCAAAGGCAATGGTGCTGGACAAGCCGAGGGCGGGGAGGATACTAATCGTCCATGGTGGGGAAAGCAGGAAGAGGTCGATCAGAAGGACAATGGATGGGATGGCATGGAAACTAATGTCTTTATGGGAGACTGTGTTAGTATTGATCATGACATTTGAGAATTTGGTACATGGACCTACCTGCGTTCAAAGGAATGACAGCCCAATCAGGTATCACCAAACGTTCATCGATCTAGTACAAGTTAACTGGCGAATTACGGCCGAGAGGATAAAAGGGCATATCGAGCACTGACCACGCGGAGACCCCAATACAGAATGCTGATTAAAACTTCTAAAGGTGCACTGCATATCGACAGGAGGTTCTTAACCAAAAATAGCCGGGAGGATAAGGTCACGTCCGCCAGCAGACCAACCGCGAAGGTGAGCGTGGACAGGGATAACCCGATGACCGTCAGGTACTGGAAATGCCAGCCATATGCCTCATTGCTAAGGAAAAGTTAACCAACAGGGGTGTCTAATAAGGCCATGGGACTGGTAACACCTACGCGTGGTTGGGATTTTCATGCATACTGAACGTAAGGATTAGCCCGAGTGACCATGATGACGTCAACCACGACCAATCGAGACCGACAATCGAACATAATCCTATAAATAAACTTAGGAGAGACTCTGAACCTACTATTTAAAAGACCATACGAAGCTGGAAAGTCCTAATATCTGAAAGGAGGGTACGTTAGCCAAGGAGAAGAAGTCCAAGATCACCAAGCCAAGTACATACATGAACCAAGGCAGAGAAGCCGCGGGATGGACTGTGTATCCGCTGTAGCGGATGTTTCCGGAGAAAGGCCTGGACTGCAGAAGAAGTAGAAGCCATGGTTGATTTGTCTGATAAGGTAATAACCACCAATAATCAATAAACCACAAGAACTTCCAATAAATAAACTCTCAGGGTTAATCTTAATTAGATGGTCACTGACGATATCGATATGGATCTCTGGGTGAAGCGGCGGTGGCCGAGGATCCCGCCGCTAATCCCAAAAGGAGGATATCGGAGTAATTATCCTCCGACTCCCGGCCGGAGACACCAGCTTATCACCATTACGTATGGGTAACCCTGCCGCTATCACCTGCTCCACCGCCCACGCTTCTGCCCCGGTTAATGCACAACTGCGATTGATTGAGACGGCCGATAGGTCGCCACCAATCTAAATGGTTATCTGGATTGTCTTTGGATATGCGATGCTCCACTGGCCAGTATCTCCTCCGCTTTTCTCGTGTTTTCTTAGTCTCGCCCAGATTCCGCTTGGTTTCACCAGCCGAACTTAAACGAGGCTCTAGCCTGGCCAGTGTTGCAACAATCGATTGCTACTACTCCCTACTAACCACCAGCGCACTAACAGACAGAGGCAGTCGTACGGGGGACTTTCCCTTCACGCTTCCCGGTTGATTCTTCACACCGCAAGATTCTACCAAGATATCTCCCAATTCGCCGCATCTACTACTAGTAAAAAGAGTCTACGGGTGCTCTCCCACACCTCGATGATCACGAATACTAGGTGTGGGTGCCTCGTTGATTATCGCTTTCTGTCGTCTTGGATAAAACCGAAACGTCCTACAAGGCGAAAAAGGAACAATTCTTTGGAGATCCTACCGACCCCGTGAGCTTACATCTGGTCTGCATGGCGATCTTACTGTGCAGAGTGTGTCGGCACTATCTCAAGTCCCGGACTATTACTTCGTCTGGCCGTTATATCTTTTATTCCTCGTCTTTTTATCTGGCCAATAACTATTGAAATCCAATGCCTCGCCCGAGGAGGCCCGGCGCTCCGGAGCCAAAACGAAGGTCCCGTAAGGGATGCTGGTGCGTACGAATACTGAAGACGTGATAACTTCACGGTGTATGATTAGCTACTAAATCCCCAGGTTAGGCCATGTAAAGCACGCAAAGTGAAATGGTTTGTTTTCGTCCTTTTTCTTTACGTCCTTTCTAGCTAGTTCACTAATATTTTAGATGTAGCGGAGAAGAAAAACCGTCCTGTGTGAATTGTCGACGTCAAAATGAACCATGTGACTACAGTATAAGACTGAACTGGGAAGGTAGAACGAGAAGAAGATCTTCCGTAGACTCTCCAAGTTCCCAGTCTGGCGGTCAGCCCGGGCAATTCATACTAGCCTTCTCGCCGTCAGATATAATGCAACCTGACTCCACGCTGCTAGCTTCGCCCTTCAAATCTACTGGGTCCTTGGGAGGAGACGCTACAGGGGACCATGTCACAGAGAGTCTGTTTTGGGAAGCTGGGCATACAGGGGAAATGGCAATAGGAACGTCTTATCCTAGAGGGCTATATGATATCCATGAATCTTCCGCTATCCCTGACCAGTCTCTTAATCCCTCCACACGTACAACTGGCAAGAGTTCAGTAGATATGAGTCCGGGGAAGGACGCTACCGCCTCGTGGACAGGTTTGTCTCAGATGGCCACAGTGGTGCCCAGAGAGGCGATCCCCAGTTACCCGTCGTCTATCTCACATTCCCTGGACGATTTCTCTTATCCGTCGCCGGCAGATACGGGCTCCAGTATTGGTTCTCTTGCCCCTTTCAACTTTTCACCAGCCACCATGTCGCAGCCAAGTTCGTTCCTTCGACACTCTGCAGACGTCCCCGAACAGCCTTTGAGCCATTCCTCGCCCGGACAAGGCGACACACCAGATCAGGGACAACCTCACTCGCAATATTCATCTCCTGCCGATGCCGTCAGTATCTATGCCCCTTACCAGTCACAGAGTCCATCAGATCCTCACGAGGGTATGTCCCCTCTGTTCAAAAGTCCACAGCTTTTTGCATCACCTAGTGTTGCCCAAGATACCGAATCGATGCCAGCGGGCGTGGCTAGTAGCACTGAGGATTTCTTCAACAAAATCATGAATAGCCCCGTATTATCTGAAAATCGTCCGCAGGTTCATGCCGGCGAGCCACTGGCCACTGACGATTTTAAGACTTTGAGCATGGGCCATGCGGTTGATGTACCCGGGGGATTCTCGAGCGCCGAAAGGAAGTGGCATGCCTATCTCACCAGCGTTACAGATAATTATGGTTTAGACTGTGGCCGTCCAGACCTGGATTTAAATAAGAATGACGACCATTCAGCCATTGACATCAATTACGCCCTGGATTTAATCAACTCACAAAGTGAATCGTCTGCGACGTCTAGCGATCGACCTGGGGATTCCTCGTCCGCGGATTCGAAACAAATTCGCTTGGATGGTGCGAAGTTTGCTTATTACGCATCACCTGTACCAATCAACATCCCGCGTTATTTATCGCCGTTGCCCCAAGCTCTAGTGCAGACGCCTATCAACCTGATGTATTTCCATCATTTTATCAACCATACGGCGAGAATGCTGGTTCCGCATGACTGTAGCGATAATCCATTTGTTTCCGTTCTACCTTCAAGTGAGTCACGGGCACGTCTGCTTTCTATTCACGTTGACCACTTTACCCTGCGCCAGTGTGCTGACCTAATAGTGGCTATTGGGGATTCGAACCTACTGAATCTTATGCTAGCGTACTCTGCTAGTCACCGTGCAAGATATCTGGAGCATCCAGAACCTACTACTCGTATCGCGCACTGGGTCAGCAATGTCTTCCCGGCATTGCGCGTAGCACTGGAAGATCCACATGAGAAGGTCACTGACAACCATCTTGCTACGGCAATCATGCTGCTTTCCCTGAAGATCATATCACCCGGCACCTTCGAAGTGCCAATTCCTTGGCAGAGCATCTTAAACTTGCCCGGCAACTCTTCCTCGCACGCCGGGAACAGATGATGTACCCAGGAAGTCGTATTGGCCCATTTCTCGCTCGCTGGCTAGGATATCTCGACATCATGGGAACCCTCTCTTGCCGACACACGGAACCACCCTTGTCTGAATACTACTCTCTTATTAGCACATGCTATTCAGTTGAAGGACTGGATGAATACTGTGTCGACTGTTTCTCCGGCTTTACGCCCCGAACGGGCCTGTTCTTGACTAGGTTGGGGAAACTGGTACATCAGTGTGACAACGAACGATTTGATGAGATAGGAATGTGGATTTCTGGTTGGAGGCCTTCGGCCGATATCATTCTCGAAGCTCAAGAATTAATAAATGATCTTGAAATTCTCCGTACCCGCGCTCACGCTAACTCAAGGCATTTCCGGGAGTCGGGAGCTACAGATATCATCGCTAGTGATAGAGCCTTTTATTACGCAGGCTTATTACACCTCCACCGGCGCGTCTTAGGCACATCTCCATTTTCTACCCCAGTCAAGGATGCTCTAGAGGGGCTTAGGGAGGCCCTCGCACAGATCAGATTCGGGCCATCCGCTGAGGTCGGAACCCTCTTTTGCTGGTTCACTGCGGGCTGTGAAGCCCAGGATCCTGGACAGAGGATGGATATCCAGGAGCGATTCGAAGTGCTAGAGAAAACTGGGATGAAACAGGTTAGTTGCTCTAGGTCCCTTGTTAGATGCCAGTACTGATCAATACCTCTGTAGATCAACCATGCTCGCAAGCTAATGCAGCGTTGCTGGGATGAAAATTTGCCATGGATTGCTTTGGCGCGTGGGGAGTTTCTTGGATAGATGGGATAAATGTGAAGCCATTGTGACTCTTATTATCGACAGAGTAGATGGTAACAGTGTGTTATTTATATTAATAAGTCAAACAACTGACAAAAGGACAAGAAAATACGCATATCCCAGTGTTAAATGGTGGTAACCTATTAGAATCATATCTGAAAGAGAATATAGTTAGAGAAGCTGTTCAAGTAAGTCATTCAGTTAGATAAAGTGACCGCTACTCAAAGGATTCTGCGTGATGAGGTGGTAAAGCGTTAGTGAGTTGACATGAAATCTAAAGTGATACTTTGATGCAGACCTCGCCATAGCAACGCAGATTCTCAGGGAAATCTGGTACAGCGTGGAACTAGTGTTTCACAAGCAACAGATACCTGGACCTTCTCTATAGAAGTGATAGAAACAAAGATCCTGACTGTCGACAACTCTCTCACCGCCCTGGAGTTTGTGTCAACAGCTCTGCACTGCATTGCCCAAAATGGAAGGTTGCCCTTGTCTCGTCTTGAGTGCTTTCAGTGCCGCTGCCATTCTGCTCTTCACGTTCCTGCTCATTCTCCTCACGTTCTACGTGCTCCAACACCGACTTCTGCACCGGATTGAGGTCCTCATGACTTCTATGACAGACTCGGTGATTCCTGAAGCATGTCAAGGCATAGAGGGGGCTATCCACCCCGACAGGGCATCGCCTGACGCACCGGAAGTTACTGTGTCTCCTGCTCCAGAATCGCGTCGAAGCTCAAACCTGATGGACAGCCGATTGGAGGACATCCAGGTTCCGGCTCTTCTGCCACAGATTTCAAAGAAGATGCCGGGCCCCATCACCACTAGCGCCATCGTCAAACTGGCCGAGGAGCTTCACCTGGGAGGACCCACTCCGTTGCTGGATGGTGGATTGGACCGCCTGCACACCCCTACTTTAGATCCCAACCGCGTAAGTTGATTCTCCTCATAACCCCCCTACACATTGTCTGCATATTTTGTCATTGAATAACTCTCTAATGTTCCAGAAGAGCCCGTTTCCAGCTTCCGTAGCTCAGGTAGCGAAAACCTCTACTTTCGGCGCCGAGGGACAAGCGGAAATCGTTCCCTGGGATGGTAAGATACGCTGGGCTATTGAGGGCCCCAGTGTCTTCGATGACGAGGAGGACGAGCTTGGGGCATTATACTTCCGTCCCAATCTCCTGTCTCGTCATCCATTCTCGGACATTTGGATGTTCCAGTATGGACTGCGATACGTTCCAGCCAAGGGCGATAGAAACGTGTATCGCACGGTCCGGATCGAAAGTCTTCCACCAACTCTGACCCTGAAAGATATCTTGCCTGCCGTTAGTGGTGAGATCTTCTCAGCTCGTCTCACGGATACCACACCCATCGTGGGATCTAACACCGCGATTGTCACATTCGTTTGGCAGTCTGATGCTGTTCGTTTTGTTCAGGCTTCAAGAAGTGGTATGCACATTGGTCCTGCAGTGGCAAAGGTTGTCCCCATCGACACTCCAACCTATCCAATCTCAGCTGAGTTGAAGAAATTGATCTTCAAGGAGGGCTACACACGCTGTCTCTGTGTGTCCAATTTGCGTGAATCTCTGAAGAGTGAAGTGCGTCGTGTTATGGAGAAGTCTGTCCACTCTGAATACATCGAGAGGATTGAAGACGGTCTTGTGCTGGGGGAGACCTACATTCGGTTCCATTCGATCAAAGTGGCTGCTGCGGCGTACGAGCAACTCAGAAACCACCCGTGCTTTACCAAGTGTGCCTTTCGTTTCCTGAAGAAAGCCTCAGACATGCGTAGCAGTGTTGCTGGAGGCCTCACATTTGGAGCTAAAGTGCAGGAAGCCCGCCCTCGCACCGGGATTTGGGATTAAGTTGCAGTCTTGAATATTCATCTTGAATATTCTTCCGTACAATCTGTACATTTGATCATTCTACCATGCACTGTATTTATTATCGTCTTACATGTTTTATTTCAAGCGGCAGCATAATCACAGATAGTTAATGCATGGTCAATATATGTCCATTGATTTCGAAACCATCCGGACCCTTTACAAGCTAATGCATCTTGTGTTGATGGCTGATCAATGCTTGTAATCCAATACTATAATAACTATACCCCTCGACGTCAGTCGTATTCGACAAAATGTGTGCAAATAGGTAGGTTAGAATAGAAGAGCCGAAGGTCATCAGATCAAACTAAAGTTCACGGATACGGACAAGATTGGAAGACTGTAGATATTAAGAATAAACTGTGATATCTCATCCAGCTTACATGATTTTGCCATAGTCAGGTCATCTGGGAAAGCTGAAGGAGCATCGTTTCTGCCTTGAATGGTTAGCGTGATCCTTTGTGGGGATTAATTGCATCAAATATCAGTCAGGGAGAGAATTTCGCGCAATCAAGGTCCTAGACAATGTGAATATTACCAAATTTACCAATACCGACGTAGTATATATTAGCTGATTTGATCAATCTCTAGTTATAGTTCTCCTATATCATCGACTATTATGATCGTCTTGTAAGAAAGGGTGCAGTTTGCCGCCTTGCGTGCTCTCTCTTAGGCACTGTTTTTTCTATGATCAGTGGGTTTTTTTATTTGTTGAGGGGCGGGGGTATGTACTTTTTCGAGATGGGCCTTTTTGGGGGGCGTTGGGAGGGCTTTTTGTGAGAGGATTGTATTTATTTCGCTGATTAGGGGGTTTCGAGGGTGGCTTTGAATTTTGAAGGGTCGGTCATGGTTGGTAGGTATGTTGTTATTGTGGGGATACAGTATAGTAGATGTTAGGTAGGAAATTTTCAGCTGTTTCTTTGTTGAGAAAAGCGTTTGCTTTGCTTGTATTTTTTTTGTTTATTTATTTTCTTTGTCATGTTCGGAGTGGTTGGAGAGAATCCTGGTCCCAGATAATAAGTAGGTTTGGGTTAATGCTGTTCTTGATTGCAGCAGTATCTTTGAAGTTTATATCCTTGTTTCACAAAGGTATGGAGTTGGGACGTATCCTAGTACGATTTTGATTCAAGTTAGATATGTAAGTATTAACCTTGTCGACATTTTATTCATATAGCCTTAAGAGTACCTATACAATGTACTACAACAATCACAATTATCGACATATCAACACATCGAATTCATAGTGGTTGAAACTTATATCAGACGTGGATTTGATCTGATAAAGAACCCTGAGGACCCACCACTAACCCTAACTGATCCACTCCCAACCATTGAAGCCTGCTGTTCTTACTAGATGTTGGGACCGTCCAGAAAGAGTTATCAATACGGAAAATATATACAATTTATGATATTAATTTCGTCTTTTATGTTCTCCATGAGCTGTGGAGATACTAAAGCTGCTGTAGCTATTTCAGTAAATGAATCAAGTAATCAATATCAGTATAGGCCGCAAACACAAACTGTGCCAAAATATCTCCACTTCCAGCACCGCCATAGTTAATTGCAACGTCAAGGTTAAAGTAGACAGACTGGATAAACATATTAAGGAATATTCTCCCCTGTCATAACCAATTCAGATATTTTTGTGAAGCTCATACATCGCTAAAAATGTCTAAACGCTTGCTCGATATCATCCGCGTGACGGACGCCTGGAAGGGACTCATGGTTGTGTCCTCCAATGCCTTCTCCGCATTGAGGACATCGGGCTGCCTCCATCGGCATTCCACATTCCCCGACCGTAAACTGCGACAGTATCAGTACAGATGCAACACGATTAGGCTGAGGAGGAAGATCTTACAGGATGGGAGTTTCGGCAGTAGTACCAATGTCCAGTTCCAGAAAATTGAGTCGCCATGGCTTCATACACTTGTCGCTTTTCGTCGGTTGTCACAAAGCTATAGAACGTTCCACCATCCAGCAACCTCTTCGCCTTTTCGATGTCATCTTGTAGAAAGCCTAGTGTTCTCGGTTTGTCAATCCGTAGAGCATCGCATTCTTCCAAAGCATCTGAAGCATTCTGGCGAAGTTTGGTGGCTGTGTCCATATCGAGAGGTTGATCTTTTTCTTCGCAGGTACTCAGATATAGTATACAAAATAGCGCATAGTAAATCATTGCTTGGACCTGCTCTACTAAAAGTTTTGCGGCCTGGCTGGCATCCCGGACGGAGATAGAAGTGTCCATTAAGCCCTTGATTCGGTTCACTACCACATTGCGCAGCTCGGAACGGATTTCTGAGTCAACCACTGCGACAATGGAAACCCTCCTGTAATCCCACAGTATAGCCCAGGCGAGCCTGAGTTGGAGGCATTGGCCGCGGATATGAAACCCAGTTTGGATCTTTGAATCATCCATGTTATACGTATCGTTGGGTACGCTGTTTTGCCCGACGGCTGCTGATGCGAGCAGATTATTGACCCTTCCATAGGGTTGCTCTGCAGCCGTCATGGAATTGACGAACTTCTGGATTACTTTTTCGAGTTTGCTTTTCTTGCAGTAAGCTTTGAGCAGGTCACCATTATGGGAGTGGCCAGACTGTTCCGCCCCAGTTGCAAGCTTGCGTATGAGCTCCCCTCCTTCTTCTTCTAGTTGCGTCTCCCGTTTTTCGATTGCCATAACGAGCTTTTTGTACGCCAAATTGGCAGTGACAATGAATCGCTTGGTTGACTCATCAAGTAATGCCTTCTTAACTATCCGGTTATACCGATGGATATCCCGAAGTGGTATACGGCACTCTGGGCATCCAGGAAGTTTCGCGTCGTCACTCACCACACGTCGTGACAGTCGCGGACTGACAATAGCGTCTGTGTGAGGATCAATATTGTAGTATTCCTTGATTTCCATGATACCGTCGAGGCTGGAAACTGTATAGTAGTGGCCGCAAGATAGGAAGACCAATGGATCTTCATTAACATTGATGCCACCATATCGCTCCAACGTGATGAAATCAACACACCGATCCAACACAGTGTCACTACCGCATTCCTGGCAGTACTTCTGATCCGGGCATTTCTCACCACAGATACTTGGGCATTGATGACCACAACCCAACAGAACGTCGCATCGCTTGTCACAAGGGACTATACTGCAGGGCACTGCGCATGGCAGGCTGCAGATATTGTTTTGTCGATGACTGCAACTCCAGCCACACCTCTCAGCGCAAGGGACACATGGTTCACTGCACTTCTTCGGGCATTTGTTGTGCCTGCAACGGACTTCGCAGGGCTTCTCACAGGGGGCGCAAGCGGTGGACGGGTGACAGGGCCGAGAGCAACTATGTGAGCAGGTGGTGAAGGGCCGTCCACAAGGCGCAGTACACGAACCATGGTTAACTTGGCCACGCTCATTAACAGACTTCCAGCACATCCAGCAATCCCTCTGGCAGGTGTGTCCGCAGTCCAGGATGCCTTGACAACGCTGTGAACACTTTATCTTCGAGATGTCCTGGTGACATTTTATTTCAATTTCATGACCACATCCGGGCACCTTTCTCACAACGACTTTCGAACATTTTACCGAGGCAACATTCTTTCTCCGTCCGCATTCGAGTTCTGTTGTATGTCCGCAGAGAAGGACAATACCGGAGACTTTTTCGACGCACTGGCCACAGCTCTCATGACATCTCTTTGTACACAAGTGTCCACACTTCCTCATTCTTGTGCATGGCTTCATGCATTTGACCGCGCCATGCCGTGTGTTAGAATGACACTTGAAAGTGCAGGTATGGCCGCAGGCCAGTCTCCGCTCACATCTCTCTGCACAGCCACCCTCCGGAGCTTGGGTTAGGAAATCTTCGGGAGAAGCAACGTACATCCTATTATTAGGGTGTCGGGAGCATTCGAGCTCTAACTTGGGTCCGATGTTGCCGCTCTCTTCTAGTATCCGGATCACTGATGACCACATAGGAACAGAGGACGCCGTATTAGCGTTCCCAATGATGTACATTCCATGCTTTGCTCGGCTATAAAGCGGAAATAATATAAGAGTTAGAAATACACTATGAGATTATAGTCAATGGCCGAAGCTTGAATACTTGCCTCAGTAAAACATTGATTCTGTTTGAAGTTTTTAGGAATCCACAATTTCGATATTTGTTGCTTCGCACAAGTGAGACTATAACCACAGTTGCCTCATCGCCCTAGGAAGTAGCTATGGTGAGTCTTTATGGAGTTGGCCCTCAGGCTGATGCAATGAACTGACCTGGAAATTATCCACCGTGGCAAGCCTCACCTGCTCGGACAATCTGGCTTTCTCAACAGTTCGTCGGTTGTGAGATGTCAGACTAGTGCTGTCACTCGTGTGCATATCTGCTTCAGAATCATCATCCAAATCGACCAAATCTTGCTCTGCGATAATAAGATCAACGATGCCCTCCAATCTATTCCTCAACAATCTAAGCTGGCCAATGTATGGGGTTAGGATGGCGATCTCTCCAGGGCTATAGCGCTCCTGTTTACACAGGTGCTGCACTAGTGCAATGACCACATCCGCCTCCCATGTGTTTGTCTTGCTCCGCATCGGGTCCTCGGGATCATCGGGGTCTTCTATGTTGCGGTGGTCAAGCCAGAATAGCCTGCGTTTTAACCCAGCGACTTCATCGTACGAACTCGTCTTCGGATGGTCGCATAGGTCGGGATATAGGGTCTGACGAACGAGGGAAGCAATCGAAGGATGCATTCTCCGCTGACTGTCTAGTTGTGCCAGAGGAAATCGAACAGAATCCACCGCACTGGTGGCTTGTCCGCCCGACCTATGAAAATCTGGAGGCCGCAGGTTTACCATCCTTTCGAACAATGACTCATCAAGGTTGTATTTAGGTCCACTTTGGTCGTACTCTATAGATAGCCTTTGGTTTGAGATCTTTGGGCGAAGTTGCAAATGGTCTCCGATCAAAATGGCATGTTGAATAGACGGCAAAAAGCTTGTCAGAATGTGTGATTCGAGCACTTCGCCTGCCTCTTCACAGATCAACACCTTTGCTGGAAGGCTACGCAGGAGATCGGCATTGTTTGCCAGACCAGTTGTAGTGACTCCAACAACTTCCACTTGATTGAATATCTGGGCGTCTGCTTTGTTAAACAAGGCAGTATACCAGCGTTTCTCTTCGGCATGCTGACGTATTAGGTTATCAAGCTCGAATGTAAGATCGTTAACAGCTGACTCATGCCAGTGCCTCAGTAGGCGTGTGCGTTCCTCGTTTGTTAACGTCCATGGATCTACAGAAAGCAGTTGTTCGATCTGTCGCTTGTCGCCATTTCCATTCAAGTCGCCTGGGCCGTTACCTTGACTCCAGGTATCCAAAGGCCTCTTATCACCGATCAATACTCCCTCGGTAATCTGTATGTCATGCTTGGGAAATCGCCTCCTTAAGGAGGCACTCACGATACCAGAGATCCCGTTTTCGAGTTGCTTACAGATCTCACCAATTCTAAAGGCCAAGTCATCAAGCCGTTTCTGTAACAGATTGATTGATCTGCCTTGGCCAGGGATGCGTGGAATCTTTTTCTGCTTCTTGTAGTTTTCAAGTGAAAGGGACTCCAGGGCGGGTGAGGCACTACGAGATCCAATGCGTACGATCTTCGAAATTCCGGAATCAAGAAGCCCTTGGAGAAACTGATCAAGTGCATGGTTTGTGTAACAGCTGTTTGTGGTTAGGTACAAGCTCCTCATTGCGGGGATACCAGTCGCCATAATCGGTACTTACACGCATAGAATCGGTCCTAATAGCGGAATTCTGTTGGCAATGAGGCATTTTGCGATCTGAATGCCTACGTATGATTTGCCTGTCCCCGGTGGACCTTGGATAAGGGCTAAATGATTTTTTAATGCTAAAATCATTGCCTGTGCCTGACCCATGTCTAACGTCGTTTGTCTAAATAGTTCCTCAGACATAGCCTTAAAGTCTCGACCAACGGAGAACGTCAGTGGGGTGGCTATATTGTCTTTATCCTGTATCTCGCCAGCTACTGAAACTGACGAAAGGTCTAGTGTTAGATTTTCAAGATAGGCTGGCGAGTGGATCGGGAAGGCCTTGTACCCAAAGGTAGTGGTTGTCTCCATACAGTACCTTTCCTGGGGTGCTATCCAAGAGGTCAATGGCAGGTATCGAGGGTCGGCATATAAGGACTGTAAGCACCGTAAAATTCCCTCAAATAGGTTATACAGTAGGGCAGGAAACTCAACAAGTATGAGCGGTCGATTCGAGGAGGAATGGTTGGTCGCCAAAGAGAGGATGCCATCCAGATCACCTCGAGAAGGAGAACTAGTGAGGCGTAGTCTAATCATAGCCCGTTTTGCATCACTCACCAAATCTGATATTTCTTTCTCGGTATTGCTTTCCATCATGGGTTCAATGTACCTCCTGGAGACCTGCAGAAAGACTACAGTGGTGTCTTTCTCCACCTCTGCATCTATGAGTGCCAATAAGGCTCCACCTTCGTTCAGCGCGCGAGACTCGCGCCAGTAATGCTTCCTTTTCCAGGGGGTCATGTTCTTTATCCTGGCAACCTGGTCAAATTCAACGTCGATCTCCATGCCTTTTACACGGTCTGGTTTGACTCTTCGGATCTGAGCTCCGTAGTAGATGCGAACGGGAGTAGGACTATGAGTTCGTAGTATCTTTTTCTTTTCCTGCCATCGAGCACCATGTACAAGCGTTTCCCAATGGTCAAGAATCACGCGAACAGCATCACGCAAAATCCCCGATGTATCTTCCCTGAGAAGACGAAAATGTGTATCTAGAAGCCGGCGAACTCCTTTCTCGTGATGTCCGTCTGGGGTATATAGACTATCTCGTGTGGGAAGAAAGTCGAGTCGTTGACTATGCAAAATCTCTGACAATGTTGGCAATATGTTGATGTTAGATATTGATGCGTGATCATTGTTATGCCGAGGACCAAATTTTGATAAGTCTCCAGGAGGGTCGACTTCATGCTGGGGCTGTTGCTGTTCTGATAGATCTATGTCTGCCTTCGGTACATAGGCGGCAATCCTATCTCCTGTTCCAAAAATGTCCTGGATCTTCAACATGTTTTCCCTGGCAAGACATAGATTGGGGTTGGTGAGAACTCTCTCCATCTCTCCAAGAGGCGAACAGCTCTGAAGATCGTCCACGATACCCTTCAACTCTGACTTAAAGGTCGCCTCCTGGATCTGCAATATGGTGCTCAGAATGGCCTCTGTGACATGTAGGAGCACCTCTTCGTACTTTATCCCATCACCATGGTCAACGTCGGTGTTCGTGTCCCGTAGATGAACCAGACAGCCCACCACCTGTCGAAAGAATGCAACTCCCCTATCTCCACGCGGCCCATAGATAACATTGAAGATAGTTCCCACGTCCTTCTCAAGAATAAGCGAGCGTTGTATCTCTCTCGCGAAATATAGGATATCAAACGAAGGAAAAGAACGCAGTGGGGGTCAAACATTAGCCGGGTCACGCTATAGGACCGGGCAAAGTCTGCTTCAACGATTTCTCGAATTCTGGCAAGACCCGTTTCCGTGGCCCAGCTGCCGACAATACTGAAAGCTGATGACCCAGCGCGATTAATATCGGACAGAGTCCCCTCCAGAATATCCTGCAACTGTTCCGGTGATAGCTTGGCGGGTTGTGACTTTGCTAAGGGGTTCCTGTATGGCGATGGACGTATTCGGCTGGCAAAACGTTCAGGATGTTAGCTCTGGGACCCACTTACAGGTTCACAATAAGAGTCCATACCTAGTGGTCTTATTATTCTCGTCTGATCGAGGAGGACGATCATTCGGACGTGCAGTTGCCCGCCGGTCGCCTCCCCTTCTAGATCGATGGTTCCCTCTGTCTTGGCGAATATTCATCGTTCTCTCAGATGGAACACCGGCGATGGCTCCCGCAACGCCATGCTGCTCATCGTTGGAGCGCTGGCCTTGGTTTGTGCTGTGTTTCTGACCACGGCCACCTCGACGATGATGTTTTCCCTGCCGCGCAGTCCGGGCATCTCGAGTAGCTGAGATCGTGGAGTCCGCCATGGTTGAGAAATTAACGAGATAGACCTGAGCTACCTATGTGTTGAATATAAACAGATCTATACGTGTAGACCGTATGAGGCAGTGAAAGGTATGAGTTGGGTTGTATTGTTTTGTCTTGAAAGAATCGGCGGGGTTAAAGCAAGGCGACAAGGCTACCAGGTTGAGAGAACAAACACTATTGGGCAGTGAAACGAAGCGTCCGTCATAGCTACATACCAGGTTCCAGTTCAAGGTTGCCATATATGCTTGCCTTACTCGTAGGATAGTACCTGCTAAAGTTTGATTGATTATTGGCGAACTCAGGCTGCCTGACTTCATATATTTGTGCAGTTATGTGAAATGGTACAGACATATCAAAACTGCAGAAAGACTTGTATTTATAGTAGAGTACAATTTCCTTGTACATATATATGGTCATAAGCACCGTCTATAAAGAAATCTTGGAATTCTTATACCGATTAGTCTACTAATAATAAATAACTATCAAGTAGCTCCTAAAACCAGCCATGACCCACTAAACCCAAACTGTTTAAGTCCCCACCCTACGTCCCGCAAACCCAACAGTGGAGGCCCCACCATTTTATCCCGATGTCAATCTAATCTCGAACACCACCACAACCACCACCACCACCACAACACCACAAAACCCAAACATGCCCACAAAACAATGACCCAACCACCACCCCCGACAAGCCTAACAGACCCCAACATGCGCCCCCAACTAACCCCGACCATCCTGACAACCCTCTTCACCTCCCTCACCCGTCCCGCGACAAGATGGACCCTCCACCGCACCCTCAAAAGCGACAACCCGCTCGACATAAACGGCGACCTCCACGGCACAGCAACCTTCACGCCGCTCCCCACCTCCAACCCAAATACAAATAGCGATGCGCAAAGCCTACAACCACCAACCATAACACCAAAAGACCTCCTCTACCACGAGGAAGGCGAAATGCCCGGCCCGCCAGGTCTACGCGCGAATCTCGGCGTTGGGGTGGGGTTGCGCTTCACGAAGAAATATATCTGGCGGCTGAGTGAGGCGGGGGTTATTAGTGTTTGGTTTGCGAAGGTGGGGACCGGTGAGGATGCGCCGGATTATCTGTTCCATGAGTTTGAGTTTCGCGAGGAGGGTCAGGGTCAAGGTGAGGGTGATAAGGAGACGTTTGTGGATGCGCCTGTGCCTCCGCTGGTGGATGGGGAGGAGACGGTAGTTTTCAAGGCCAGGGGGAATCATCTTTGTATTAATGATATGTATCGGACTGCTTATGCTTTTCGGGTGAGGGGCGAGGGGGAGGTGGTTAGTTGGGCTAGTCGGCATGTTGTCAAGGGGCCGAAGAAGGATCAGGATATTGTGAATCTTTATCGAATGGGTTGAGGGGTTGTGTTTCTATGAGTTGGTTGTGTGCTGGTCTTATACAAGGGTGGAGTTGTGGATAGAGGTGATTTGCGATTGTGGTCAGGGTTTTTGGGGATAGACTACCGTGCGTAAATAATATACACTATTATACAAGTAGTACGTAGTAGATGTGACGGTATGCCTGGCTTTCAATTTCTATCGCTGATTTCCCCAGACTATCATGCCCCATTTCTCTTATCCATGATAGTCTTCAAGATAATCTCACAGTTAGCCGAAGGGTCAACGCTCTGTTCAATTCCCTCGAGTGTGACATTGATCATCTTTGCCCCTGGGGCATACAAAGGCCAGTTAGATGTCCTGTTATCCTGTTTTGACTTTCCTGTAGTAAACTTTACGACCTCTGACTGAAATTGTCTGGCGAGAGAAACATTTACAGGAACAGGCAATTCAGCACCGGATCTGTAGAAATAGTCTGTAGCCATCAGTATGTTTACCACATAAAGTAATCAGAGGAGAACACATACAGAACGAATCCAATCCATGTATAGCGGGCGGCACCGAAAATAGATACCGTTGGGTTCTATTTCCATAAGCCTTTGCAACAGCTCTCGCATTGCAAGCAAACACTGCATCAGTCGTCCAAGAGTTTGCAGCCAGTTGAATCTGCGAATCTGGAAAGGGATACATGTCCCGGATATGTCCAACGGTGGCATTAGTAGCTTCTGGGACCAGGCGTCGGACCAACGTGGCAAAGTCTTCGTACGTGCTGACATCTGTAGTCATCCCAAATCCCTCTGCTGCCATGTTCCCAGACATTACCGCTTTGATATTCTTGTGATATCGGCCTTGTTGGAGCATAACGGGAACTGCATCGAGTAAGTACTTCCCATCTGGGAACGGGCCGATACCAATTCCAGGACCCAGGGTCCCTCCTCCCGAGGCTCCAGGGAGGTTTAGAGCTTTTTTATTTATGGTAGCTAGGGCGGGTGGCGGTGCATTTCTAAGACAGGCGAGGGATGAGCAGTTCCCAGTTTGTAGTACTTGATCATAAACCTCTTGGCGACGCTCTGTTACGTTCCTTCTCGGCATGAGAGCAGGGGATGACAGAAATGCCTTTGGTCAGTCAGTAGGCGTTATCAATATTCAAAACAGGAAGAACGCTTACTTTCTGGAAAGGAAGAGTACCATTTCCACCATTCCCTACAAGCATCATGGCAATCATAGCCGCACCCGCGCTCTGCCCCCCGACAGTGATATTGGCAGGATCACCACCAAACCGAGAGATGTACTTCTTTGTCCACTCCAGCGCCGCAATACCATCATGGAGCCCCACATTGGCATCCATATCTTCGTGCGCAGAGGATACCCACCCATACAACCCCATCCTGTAAATATGATCAACAATGCTCATAGTAAGTACGGAAAGGGAAACAAACCGGTAATTACTCGCCACAAAGATAAACCGATCGTCCCTTCCCTTGGTCGACTCCATGAGACCAAACCCATCCCCGAACATGTCTTTACTTCCAAATGCAAACGCACTCCCGTGCAGCCAGTGCATAACCGGCACATTGTCCCCCTCGCGCACACCCTCCGGCACCCACACATTCAGGAAAAGACAATCCTCCTGCCCCCAGGAGGTCCCATTTATCCCCGGAAACGGAGCCTGCGGATGCACAGTACTGACGCAGTCACTTGTTGTGAGTCGATCTCGACCATCCTGGATGCCGTTCTCATGGGACGGGGGAGTGACTGGTTTACGAAAGCGGAGGTTGCCGGTGGGTGGCTGCGCAAAGCGGATGTTGTTGTATAGGCCGATTTTGGCACCTGATTCGGTAGTGTTGATGAACGTTGGGGTGTGGATAGCATAGCCTAGGTCTATCTTGGGGAAGGTTTGGCCGGTGATGGCGGGGAGGAGGGAGGATATTGTGATCAGAAACAAGAGTAGATTTGGATACATTGTAGTGGTATACACGTGTTCGATGTTGGTTCTCCTGAAGTTGTATACATTGCGGGGAGGCTGGAGATTTTGTGGTATTGGAGTTGCTGTTTTATAGTTCAATCTCCATGGCCGTTTCCCAGATAAGTGTGGCTCGTACTCGTTTGATATGAACAGAGTGGATCCTCGTATTTATGGAGGCGCATACTAGGTTCGGTTGATCGACATCAGTCATGCTTATTCGACAAGCTGACATTAGGTTTGATCACAAACGGAAAGTTCGTATCGGGCCACAGATTCATGGTGTGCAGTGGAGTAGTTCAACAACTTCTTGCCCAAGTAACAAGCAACCTTTTCTATTGGGCGGGGCACTATGACACCATGACACATAAGGCAAAGGAAACAATCCTGAAGGAGCAAGCACTGAGTTTTACCTCTCAATTCAGGCAAAAGCGCAGCCACTGGGAGTAAAAGCATGTGCAATCTAGGCAGCTTGCATGAGTGGAAGGCGCGTTGGCCTTGAGTGTAATCCAAACGATACGTGCAACAAAGTCATACGCTTAACTGAGGTGTCCCATCTCCTTAGAATTCTGGGCATATGATATCCAGGGTATGTGCTAAGTAGGCTGCCATTTTCAAGCTACAGCTTTACCCCATTCTTCTTATTCTTTTCATGTAGTCGTTTTTCTGTTTTTAGTTCAGGGTATGGGTAAGAGTCTCGACCTATATACACCGAAGTAGATGGCATTCATAAAGCAGAGTTCTAAGTGTCTCTGAAGAGTGACTGGGTGTTCTTTAACACACTTAGGCAATCCCCTAGTTCTGACCACCCTGACCGTACATAGACATTATTATTGCAAAACTTACTCCGTCAGGGACACGTACTAATGCTTACGTAGGTGGCTTAAAGCAAGCGAGAAGAAATAAGGAGCCGTAGTCAAAGTAAATGACAGGAACCCCCGACCTTACATAATTCCATGAGTCTCTTCTATAGATTTCCTGAGGAGGTGAGATGCTTCAATGACTTGACTAGCTATCTTTCACAATATTCAGGTTCAAGGTCGTCATGCAAGTTCTACATAATTGAGTTAGCGTGGTGCCCTTTGGATCAAAATCGACCACCATGGATGTACGGGGTAATTGAGGCCGAGAGTCCAGGATTAGACGGAATTAGAATAATTAAGAAGTACAAAGCATGTAAAAGTACACAATGAATAAGAAGCGTAACCAATCCCGGGCAAGATGATATCTTCCCCTCATTTTTCCCAAGAAGCGGGGCAGCCACATCAGTGGACATATAAAGGAAATAACTCAAGGAATCCCTTTGGGTAATTCGTCCTCTTGTAAACAGTCCGACTGACTGCAATCGGAAGATTGAAATGCCTCGAGTAGCTATTGTCACCGGCTCAGCGCGTGGGATGTAAGTAATGCCCTCCTGGTACCTGTACCAGTACGATCAGTGTTGAATGTATACCAGTGGAAAGGCGATAGCCTCCGTCTTGCAAGAGATGGCTATTCAATTTGCATTAACGATATTCCCGGTGCAAAAGATGAAATCGCTGCAGTAGTTGATGAAATAAATGCCACGAGCACTCAAGACGTGACCTCTTCTCCTCGCCCCCGGGCGATCGGTATAGCTGCTGACGTGACCTCATCTTCCGCGGTGGAAGAGATGGTTCGAGAAACAGTGGAAAAGCTTGGTCCGTTGACCCTGATGGTCGCGAATGCAGGCATCGCGCAAATAAAACACCTTCTCAACGTCACTGAGGCCGATATCGACGAGGTATTCTCGGTAAATTTTAAGGGCGTGTTCAACTGTTACACCCATGCGGCTCGCCAGATGATCACGCAGGGTGATCCGAAATCTGCTGCCGGGGTTGGCGTGTACAAGATCGTAGGGGCCGCGTCCATCGTCGCATTCAAAGCGTTTGCAGCGCTGGGGATCTATTCGGCCAGTAAGTGGGCGGTTCGGGGATTGACGCAGGCGATGGCGTCGGAGATGGCACCACACAAGATTACGGTCAACGCATATGCGCCAGGGGTGGTGGGAACAGCCATGTGGGATAAGATTGACGAGGAGTTGGGCACAATCGAGGGCCGATCGAGGGGGGAAACGCGAGAGTTGTATTCAAATAAGGCGGCTTTGGGGCGGACGAGTGAGCCGGAGGATGTGGCTGGGTTAGTTGGAGGGTTCCTGGCGAGTCAGGACTCGGATTTTGTGACTGGGCAGACCATGCTGGTGGATGGTGGCATAGTCTTTACCTAGAGCTCCTTGTATTGTTATGATTTTCTCACAGCTCATACTCGCTTTTTCTGCATCCTATGTGATCGGACCCCAACAGTGAATAAATGCTGGGCAACTGGGCAACCCCATTAACCAGCGCACCAAATCGCAAAGGGAAAAAGATATGATGCGTATAGCAATATCAGAACAATGCCTGTACTACTGGCGGTATGTATACATGTATATCATGAGCCAATACACAGTCTAATTATAGCCAAGGCAGCTAGGTACTAACTACTACTAAGTAGTAGCAGTAGACTATTATTAGCTACTAGGTAGGCTACCCCGCATTATATGCCCGGTCACTCGCTAAAAAACACATCTTTTCGCTTATTATCTTCCAAACTTCGAATTCGTACAAATGAATTTCCAGTGTGAAGCACTTGATGGAAAACAAAAACAAATCCGACCACTTACCATCCTCACTGATAGGAATTGTTCCCTCAATATTGTATCCCTCGACAAATAGTAAATAATATCATAGCTATAGATTTTGCGTTATATCCGAGCTTATTTCGCCCACCTCTTGTGCTTTCGCTCATTTTCTATGTTGTAACGCCGATCAAAAAGTTGCTTGATGAAGCTCCATCTGGCCGTCTTCATGTTGACCTCCTTGCTTTAGTTTGCTCCTGGTACCCTTATGTTATCCAAATTGCCTCTCTTCAACCTGCCACGGGAGGCTGGGGTCACAAAACGCCCGAAGAACGCCAACAGTAACGAGGGAGACTGATGTTGAACTACTGCGTACAGTATGGATCCATCTCACATTATCGAAATTTTCGTAGTCCTCCCTGCGAGCGTATATTCCCATAAAATGCGACCAGAGAAAGCAGCCCACGCGTTGTCACAAGTTAGCCATGAACCGGTAATGTATCACAGCTCTCCCCATTCCCAGCTCAGAACTACCCAGGGCTTTGAAACTCCGCGAAGGGCGTGATCTAAGGAATTAGAACCTCCACTGGCTCATCAGAATAACCAAAACCACATATGGCGTCAGCGCTACCGCCACGATCACGCCGAACAAACACAAGAGTTGGCGCTTAAAGTTGCGTGACCACCAACGCTGGGAGCCTCCTGGGTGGATAGTGTTGCGGGGGTCAGATTCTAACCCTGGGAACTCGGTTGCCTCAAAGGCGGCTTCTTCGTCGTAAGCGGTATCTGAGTAGGAGGCAGGCGTTTCTGAATATGGAGGTGGAGGGGGAAGTTCCTGGGAAGTATTAAAATGGGTTATTGGGATGGGGTGGGGGCCAATTTACTTTTAATTGGATCATGGTGCGCGACCGATTCTGGAGGAGAGGTTCCGAGGGAAAGGTGCTATGGGTCAGCACTATGGGAAGAAGGTGATTATATACTCCGGAGTAGATTAGTACTAGTTATGCAGGGATGTTCTGATTACACAGTCGGATTGCGCGGGTACAGCCTCGTGATTGAGGCTGTGGGGTTTCAGGGGAACAACATTCCTGGGTAGAATCGTTATTGAACCAACTGACATACATTCTCGTAGATCTTAGATAATATTAACATGCTATGTCATTTTGCACTGGTTGTACTTGGCCTTCTTGTGATATTATGCAGCAAAATAGTTCAGTGTGTACCAAGGTGGTTTGTTCAATGCAAATGAGTAGCGCTGGTTGAGACCAGGAATATCAAGACTTCGCCGATGTATGTATTAATGTAGCTCGAACGGCCTTTATAACTTGAAAGAGGCACCCTCTTGTCATTGCGAAATTAGTGCAGAACCCTTAAATTAGTACCACAACCAGAACTTGGCAGAAGCAGAAATCGCAACTTCCGGCATCCGAGCAGTGAAGACCCACCTTTTGGGGCGGGAACTTCCGTCACCAGCTTTAAGCCTTATGCCTTACTACGATGGCCTGGCCTCAGGGTAAAGAAAGACCCGGCAACGTCTGTACATTCTGGGGTAGCACGTGCTCCAGGTACAACCCCTTTTAAATTGTAATTGACAAAAGACGCGAAACACTGTCGGCAATTCTATACACGCTAAATTACTGGAGAGTCCGGAGAAATTCACCAAATCATCCACCCACGTGGGCAATTCAACCAACAAGATCAGTCTATAGTACAACACGATGGCACTAATCGCGTATAGCTATACTGGTGCGGGACATGGCCCGTCCTCCGCACATCAAGGTGGGACATTATGGCTTTTTGGACAACAGAGATGGCTACCCACGTGCCTCTATACCAAGAACCAACTGGTGATTCAGGCCCTAATGAAGTTTTCAACCAAATAAAAAACAATTATCTGCGGTTGCTCAATACCAGCCTCTCGGGAAACCCGGCATCCATGTCTACCAACGAGTCAAACATGGCGTCTATAAAGCCTGCTTGTCTGGAGATGTTTGCAAATAGTTCACAATTGTGCCTACTATTGTTTCCCTGCTTTTGTGTCGGGTGAAACCAGCCTCTCGACGCTTCACCATGAAGGACATGCTTTTTGCACTCCCTCTGATTACTGCCTCTTGGGTGGGTGTTACTGCGGCTAGTTCAGATAGAGCCACTGGCACGACACAGCCAAATTGGTTCCAGACGTCTCCTCAGAGTTATCAAGGTTGGTTTTGGAGTCGGGTTTGGATCCTATAGAGTCTTTGGCTAAGAATCCCAGGTCCAACTGCCACCGGCTCTGCGCCTTTCCTCGCCGAAAAGAACCCAGCTTTCTCCAGCGATGGGGCGTATATTGCCAATGATCCTTTAGTGACAAATCAACCTATTTCGGGAGCGCACAGGCGCAACATCTTCCACCATGCTGGTAACCTGAGGTAGGTAACTGCAAAAGTGAATGTCAACGAGTGATACGAAACATCAACATCTCACAGTACTATAGTCCGTATTTCTCTTCGGAAGATGGCTTTGGGGTTGACGAATATCCCCTTCCGGCTGGGGCAAATATCACCCAGATGCATATGCTTCATAGACACGGTTCCCGATACCCTTCTTCGTCGGAGGGGTTTCCATCCTGGGCTGAGGGGATCAAGAACTCTACCACTGCCGGTAACCGGTTTAAGGGCGCTCTATCATTCCTCAATGACTGGAGCTATGGCCTTGGGGCTGAGATCCTTGTTCCGAAGGGTCGCCAAGAGCTGTTTGATAGTGGTGTCTTGAATTATTACAACTATGGGCATCTTTACAACGAAAGTCTTGACCACAAGCTAGTGGCACGCACCACGACACAGGATCGCATGCTGAAATCGGCAGAAAACTTTCTTGCTGGCTTCTTCGGCCTGGATTGGACTAACAAGGCCAATCTACTAGCAATGATTGAAAGTGTGGGGTTCAATAACTCTCTTGCTCCATATTCCTGCACCAATGCTATGACCGTCATGGCCAACCCATCAATCTATGAACCCATGTATCAATGGATCGACATATACCTCAAGGAGCGTACTACGGTTCTGAAAGAGCTTTCCGGGTCCTATAACTGGACCGCTACTGATTCGCATAATGCTCAGGCTCTCTGCGTATACGAGACGATTAGCTTTGGCTACAGCCAATTCTGCCAGCTCTTCACTTATAAGGAGTTTGAACACTTCAGCTACGCATATGATCTTATGTTTACCTCCATGTTTGGATTTCAGAACCCAGCCGGCCGCGCCCAGGGAATCGCGTGGGTCGAGGAGTTCCTCGCCCGAGTGGAAGGCCACGTTCTACAGACAACCGGCACAAATGCCAACATGACTCTGGACACGAACCCAGTGACGTTTCCGGCGGACCAAAATCTCTACTTTGACTTCACACATGATGCCGATGTCTTCGCGACCCTTACGGCATTCGGATTCAGACAATTCGCCCAGTTTTTGCCTCCAACAGGCCCGCCAAAGAATCAGCAGTTTTCCACCAGCAAGGTTGTTCCTTTTGCTGGCCGCACAAACATTGAGATTATAAGGGCGCCTCATAAGGTATCAACGCAGCGATCCCGAAACGAAACACACGGCGTCTATGTGAAAGACACGAAGGACACATATTATATTCATTTCCTTCAAAATCAGCGAACACTTCCTCTCCACGCCAGCTTCCCGGAGTGTGAATATCGAGATGATGGATGGTGTGAGCTTGACACATTCTTGAAGGTACAAAAAAGAGCTTGGAGCGATCCCAGTTTGAGTATGCGTGCTTCGGAAACTGGAGTACTCCAGCTTATGGGGACGTTACAGACGGAGTGCCTCCGCGAGGCTAAGGATGTCTTTCATTGATTTTTCATGTTATATACTGTATTACAAAAAGGTAGATAGAGATATAAGGGCAGATCAGGGGGGAAGCATACATGCAGGTAGAAAGAAAAGTTGAATCTCTTGTGAGGTGAGGCGGGTTGTTGATATAAGCAGAATTACAAATGGGGAGCCATAGCAAAGAGATTTTAACATGTGTTAGGGAAATCAGGATCAGATTTTACACAGTTAAAGTTCTATTTAAAAATAATTTTGCAAAGCGGATGGAGTTCATATTGCTCCAATCGATTCTTTCCTTTGAGTAAGGTAGAACACGAGTCCAATATTTTAGGACTTCGAAAGTCCTGTTCATTTCACTACTAAGGTATCCACCAATAGCCAAGCTATTAACGATTATGCATACTAATTCATTAAACGGTGCTTAACAGCTCTATGTGAAATCATGATAATTATAGAAGCAGTTGATTGGCTGTGGCCTCGTATTAGACCGAAAACTGGTTGCCTGCCATCGTCATAATCGAGACCTTCAACAATTCACGACGACATTGAAACTGAACTCAAGACAAGACAGTAGATAGTCGCTCAACACAAGCATGGAATATTCATTTCAGTCGGCACGTTTCCAGACAGGTGTTTCGTCACACCCTTCATTTTCCATATCAGCGCCCATTTCTAGAGTTCGGATAGAGCAGCATCGGATCAAACGACCTCATACAAAATCGCGTCATGGGTGCTTCAACTGCAAGGCCCGAAGAGTCAAAGTAACTAATAACTGCCTCAATGTATTGGGAAACTGCGGGACTGACAGACCTACCAGTGTCAAGAAACGCAGCCTCACCCCTGTGCCAACTGCATCGGCCGGAACATGCGGTGTATATACCCTTCAAATGAACTGTTACTGCGTCGTCGACATGTCAGTCCGCAAGGTGGCCGCCATAGGCAACTGCTGCCAAGGAGCCACCAATCTTCGTCAAGCTGCACTATAACGCCATCATTTTCAACAGAGTCAGCAGTGGCATTAAGCTCACAGCACCGTGTACTGCCTCATACCTTCACTGCGGATGACTTACGGTCCTTTCACCACTTCCTGATAGCGGCATATCCGTATCTCCCTTTTGGGAGTGAGGAACTATGGAAGACGAGTCTCCCGGCTTCTGCGCACAAGGTTCGCTTCCCACCAGAGGCCTATTTCTGTAATACAAAGCGGAGTGAATTCTGACACCAACAGTGTCCCCACCTAATGCATGCAATCCTATGTCTAGGAGCCACCCATCTCTCCCTAGTCATACCCGATGGAAGTAGATATAAAACGCTAGCCGTCACACACCAAGGCCAAGCCCTGAGAATGCTCGGCAACGAGCTATCCAAAGGCGACCAATGCAGCAAAACCGAGCTGGACATAATGCTAGCCACAGTATACGCGCTCACATTCCAAGCCCACTATATGGCCGACGGGCTAGTCGACTTCGCCATCATGGTCCGAGGCTGCAGCATCATAACCCGGCGGATCCTGAACAGACACAAAGGAAGCGACATGTTTAAGTTGCTCACGTCAGATGCCATCCTTACTAACACTCTACCGCGCATTCCTCCCACGCCATACACCGACACTGAGAATCTCAATACATCAATCGAAACCATACAAAGCATCGAGCCATTGTTGGCGTGTGAAAGCCACCACAATGCCTACACAGCGCTGTTCAACACGTACAACGCATTGAAGCGCTCGGCGCGCGATGGCTTCGTCGCTTTTACGGATTTCTATGATGACTGGGGGCGAATGAGTAACCAGGAGTTTATGGAATTCCTCGATCCCGGGAATTATGTCGCGCGTCTTCTGTTTGTGCATTTTGTGGTCGCTTCCATTATGCTGCGGCCGGTGTTGCGGGCTCTGAAGGAACCAAGGCTGTTGGCGTTTCCGAAGGAGGAACTGCCGCTACTGCAGAGGGGTCTTGATATCTATGAGTGCTTGCCTTCTGAGGTCCGTGGGTTGGTGGAGTGGCAGTATCGCTATATCACCTTGGATAAAGCTTTGCTTGAAAGTTCGAGCTCGAGGTCTGAGGAGGAAACATCTGAATTAAGTACGGTATAGAATGTGACTTATATGAATTCACCTTGAAATCCATGCCATTGGAAAGAATATAGCACAGAACAAACTCAAGCAAAGGAGGAAAAAAAATCTAGCAAAACAGCAATGACTCTAAAGCTACCAAAATCTCAAACAAACATGACACAATCTAACAACATCACCACCATCTACACCCACAGCTACTTCGACCTCGCCCCAAGTCCAGCAGGAAGCCACCTCGCGGGATGATACCACCCCAGAACCATCATGGCCATCAACATCGGCACGGCCTCGAGGACATACAACGGCCACTCATGAGTCCAGGTGTAGGTATCCATACCCATCGAGAACTCAATAACGCGATAGATCAGTCGAATCTAGCACGCAATAGACACTGTTAGCAACCAACAAACAATTCGAAAAGGAAAAATGAAAAAAAGAAGTATACGAACCGTAATAAAAAACCCAGCCTCATAAATCCCATTCAAAACCGACCTCACTCCAGACTCAAGCTCCCCGCCTCCCCTAGCCCTAGGAGACCACCTATCGAACCAAACCACGACAACCAGAAAAAACGCAAACGTAACCAGCTGCAACACCAGCCCAGCAATAAGAACCCCAACGCCAACGTCCTTTTCTTTCCCCGCCCAATCATTCGACGAAGCAATCCCGCTGCCAGCTGCCTGAGTCAGAAAACTGATAACATCTGACGTGACAAAGACCCGGGGGATCCAAGACGGCGAGAACCTCCCGAACAGCAGTACCGGGTCCTTCGTCTCTATATCAGGGCTGGGGACAGCACGACCGCCGGACCGGATCAAGCGTCCGATGAGGATGTAGAGGCTGGCGCAGACGAGGACAGGGGCGATCACGATGAGGGTTGCGGAGGTGGCGTAGAGGCCGATGTTGTCTGGCTGTTTTACGCTGGCGGCTCGGATGGCGTAGGCGGCTACTTCTGTTGCGGCGCCGATGGCGATGGGGATGAAATAGCTTGTTTGCGGGTGGCGGCCTGCGTAGGGGGCGATGAGGGAGAGGTAGGTGTGGTAGAGTAAGGGGAGGGTGTAGAGGATTGTGAAGAGGATTGAGGCGGCGAGCGATGGGTTGTAGAAGTAGATTGAGTCGCCCATTTTGGGGTTTACTGGGATTTCGTCAAGGAGGTTTTGTATTAGGTGGTAGAAAAGATGTTGTTATTCACGTTCAATTTCTGAAGTACTGCAAGCTCACTCTCGCAGCCTGCGAAGTCCTTTATATCCTATTTCTATAGTATACAAGATATTCATACATCTAAAAAACCCATACCCAACCAACCAATGATATCGCAACAAACCCCAAGCTTCACGATAGGTGGATCTCGTATTCGCACCTCGCATTTTCCTCGTTCTAAGCCTTACCGGGCCCAATCAAGCATTCTAATAGGTTCGTTACATCGTTGCCTGAACCTATCTGTCAAATATATCAGCCAAGAATCCACAGAGAAGAATTGATGAACGGGTAAGCAAATCGCTGGACCACGCTACTCAGTGACCAGGCCACGACGATAAATAAGCTCTCGGTGCGAGCGCGTGTGGAACGAATCCGAGTCTTGGCGAGATTACCGTATTTAGTAAAGGGGATTACAAGGCCTGGAGCGTATAAGGCGTAGATTGAGAGGCTATGCTGAGGTCGTTGTGACTGGGTTTTGTCGGTCTTGATGCCATCCGTGGCTGTGTTCCGGGTTAGGGTTATGGTTTAGTTTGAATGGTTTGTTCGATGGAATAGGAAATCTTAATGGTGGTTAAACATTCAAATGCGTGCAGTATCTATAGGTGGGTTTATATAGTATAGAAGATTTGTTTGTGGATTGCTGCTCTCTAATGATGGCTGCTAAGGGCTTTCTTGGACGATGTTATATGGCTTGAGGAGTTGACTGGCAAGTTTTATCAAACATGGTAGTAGAATACTCCAGTGCCTGTTGACTGGACTTTTCAAAACTGTGCCTCTTGGGGGTCAGATTGCGATATATCAGGCAAGTGAATCTAGATCATAGAGCCAAATGAGTAATGCAGGCTCCTTTCAATTTGTTCAACACACAATACACTGCCCTATGGAGACATGGTGGTCTATGCAGTGCCACAAATATAGAGACAACCCCTTCACTGCGAGTGTGTCAACGTATTGCCGAATGAATCTCAAAAACAGCGAAATTTATCAGGGAATAAAGAGCTTGATTACTTGCTGAAGGCTCATGGAAGAAAGACCAGAAGGATTATGTCTACCATGTAGAACATGAGGCTATCTAGGAAATCCAAATCAATTCAACGGCCCGCCAAGGATCGACGAGATCAACCATACAACGCAGGACTGTGAAAGTAAGCAACAAGAGCATCCCTGGTAAGATAGGTTGCTTGATAAAAGAATATTTAAGTTAGATGGTACTAATATATAAGATGTAGGGTTAAATCTACCCCAACTTTAAATCGTGAGCCTGAAGTTCACCTTGAAACCCCACATTGTTAGCAATTTGGGGGCTAAATGCGAGGATACATACCGTCATTTAGTACTATCTGCACTTGAGCCATGCTTGCGACCGAGTCTACTCATTAGATTAAGCAATATATCGCATTATGTCGTATTGTCCGAGCAGAACTCACTGGCAGATTCGAAGCAGGGCTCATGAGGGTAGAAGTTATTGAGCACAGAAATGCAGAGTGTTGATCGTTTCATTTACTAAAGTCTGACCGAGCACAGCCTCGTCAAGGGATACGATATTTCTCCGCTGCGTTCCCCTCATTTTATGCCATCTCTCATACGCCTCGGTCGCTTCAAGCAACACACCATGAAGCAAGATGATGAATCCCATCAAATGATCGCTTCGCCGCACAGTGACGAAACGCTCGGCCATAGCGACAAAGAAAGCGAGTCGCAATTCCCCTTGAAAGTCCGCCGATCCTTTCGAACGCGAATAACCGACTGGTATTCAGGATGGAGATTCACGCTTGCATTGGCGTCATTTGCGAGCGTCATCGTCCTGGCATTCAATCTCGGTTTTGTCATATGGGCTGCTGTGCACCGTAAGGTGGAGGGGAATCGGGGGACTCTGCACGAGGGAAATTGTGAGAAGGTGCAACATATGAGTACGGGTCTCCATTTCGCCATCAATATCCTCAGTACGAGTCTATTGGGCGCAAGCAATTACTGCATGGTTCGTTGGGGTCTTGTCTCATCTCCCTGCACGACTTGGTTCACTGAGTATCTATACAGCAATGCTTATCCGCACCGACCAGGAAAGATATAGACCGTGCTCACGGTAAGGGTAGATGGGTCGACATAGGTGTGCCCAGTATCCGAAATCTACGACAGGTATCTAAAAGGCGGGCTGTTTTGTGGGTCTGCTTGGTTCTGTCATCTCTGCCACTCCATCTAGTGTAGGCTGCCGTCGCCGACTATTCTGTCAATCCTCAAAGCACTGATACACATCCCAGGTACAACTCTACCATCTTCGCCATTACCTCGGCCAATTCCTACCGGGTGTTTATTGGACCAGAGGGCTTCGACAAACTGGATGTCCAGAATATCACTCTCCACGATGGAGACCCTGCCAGTGACGTCTTACTCCGGTTACATGCCGAAGCGCAGAATGGGACCCTTCAGCGCCTCGATATATCTCAGTGTGTGAATGCGTATGCGACGGACTTCCAGACTTCCTATGGGAGTTTGATAGTTGTGACAAATGATACTGATCAAGCCGGCCAATACCACTCAGTCCAATATCAGGCCACTTTTGTGCCGGTGGAGAATCTCGGAGCTAAAGCTTCTGACCCGTATCAGTGGATTTGTTCATCACAAAGACAGGCAAAAGATCGTACTTGTGGCCAGCTTCTTTCAGACGTAAAGGACCAAGTTTCCAAGAACAATTGGTACGTGTATGGCTACCAAGTCGGATACTGTCTTGCCGAGCGCCCACCGCAACGTTGTAAGCTAGAATACAGCCTCCCACTAGCGATTATCGTGGTTGTATTCAACTTGGTGAAGGCAATCATCATTGGATATACAGCTGCCAATGTGACGACGAAACCTATCTTGACAACAGGAGATGCAGTCGCGTCTTTCATACAGAGACCCGACAATTTTACACGGGGCCACTGTCTCCTCACCAGTGAATCTGTGAAGAAGCGGACCCACCGACCAAGTTACAAGTCGTCGACCTTCAACAGCACGCCAAAGCGATGGCACGCCGCAGTCTCAGGCAAGCGTTACCTCCTTGGACTTGTCTCGTGGGTGTTTCCTTGTGCATCTTTGCATCTCTCCTTAATGTACTGACCCAAAGGATCCAGATATACCCTCGCCATCCTCATCGTCATCTCCCTTTGTGTCTTCGGAGTTTTGACTATAAGGGATACATCGAGCACCTGGACGATGGGCCTCGGCGCCGTCAACGCCCAAACCCTAATCACTGGGACCGATTGGGTAACATCACTCATATCCAACGCCCTTATCGCCAATACGCCCCAACTACTCTTCTCCATGATCTACTTCACCTTCAACGCCATCTTCACTGCCATGACCCTTGCAGCGGAATGGAGCCGATACGCCAACCACCGCAAGGGTCTGCGTGTGTCCGGTACGCCCGAAAACGCCCAACGCAGCAGCTACTTCCTCTCCCTCCCCTACCGCTTCGCGGTCCCAGCGTTGGCCTTCTCCGCCATTCTCCACTGGCTCATCTCGCAGAGTCTGTTCTTGGTTGGGATCGAGTCGTACACCGAGAAATTACAACGGGACCCCACGCGGGACGTTATGACGTGCGGATACTCTCCTCCGGCTATGGTGAGTGCGATCGTTGTGGGGACGGTGATGATGGCCTGGCTGGTCGGGTTCAGTTTCCGGCGGTTGGAGTCCGGGATGCCTGTGGCGGGGAGTTGTACTGGCTATTGCGGCGGCTTGTCATCCTACGTTAAGTCTTAAGGGGGATGAGTATGTGGAGGAGGAGGGGAAGTGGGGAGCGGAGCAGATGAGTGTGCAGTGGGGAGTTACCCATGTCGATGCGGATGGGGAGGGACATTGTAGTTTCTCGAGTGGGGAAGTGGGAGTACCGGAGGATGGAAAAGTCTACCGGTGATGTTCTAAATGAGCGATTTTCGTCCATGCCTTTATTCTCGTATTCAATGGCCCCGTGACTCGAAGCCATCATCAGAGTTATTCTTGTGCCCCTCCACTCATGCATAAAATGCATGAAAACAAAGATCTGAAACATATTTCTAACGGTCATGAACCCCATTGTTTTTGGGTTCAACTGCTGCCAGGGCAATGTGTACCGAGATGTAGCACTATATATATCTCATGGCGAAGGGGCAAGATGATGTTCAACAAGAACATGTTCAATTTGTTATGAGTCCACGTCCATTGGCTTGCAGATTGCAAGAATATTCACCCAAGTTAAGAATTGTCACATACAATGTCGACTTTTGGTTATGGGGCTTTCGGCTGTTCGTTTTTAATTCGGGTTGACCACTTGATTGATTTTTATTTTTATTTTTTTTGAAGGGTAAAAGAGATACTTTCGCACCAGCTTACCTAGGTTAATGACAAGTATAGTAAAAAAGATGAATTCGGACACAGTGAACCAAGAAAATCAGGAGGTAGCACTGAGGCGCAATAGTTCAACCTAATATGGTCGGGATAAAAAGTCCACCGACGGTCACCGTTGTAACCCGGCGGCAGATGAAACGACCACGAGAAGCCGGTAGCCAGCAACAGTAACTGTCAAGTCAGTGACACATTCCCCCAGCGATATCCCTTGCGTGACGGATCAAGAGGTTCATCGAAGATCAGGAACCATGTGAGGACGATCCGTGGATCCTGGCAGTGTTAAGGTTACTCGACAGGCACGAGCCAAAAATAAATCCAAGACAACCTGATCCTTGATATAGTACACTACCGATGCAACTGTTCAGAATCGAATGGCGCTAGAGACTTGGGGGTGTAGATTTAGTATAATTTCCGCACTGCCCCCGCTTCGCGGTTGATTTCATTTGCCCGACGCTTGTGATGGGGTCGGTGCTTTTTGGTGTTTTTCTAATTTCCCTCGGCTCAGCGTTGTGGAGCCACGGGATTCTTGGGAAATAAATAGTTGGATAGGATGGGTCATTGTGACATGGCCAACGTCGACGCTTCCGGTACCGCGACGCATGCGGTTGGTTGTAACCCAAGCACTTGGCGGAGAGTCTGAGCATTCCTGGGATCGGAGTTGCAGATTGAACTGTCAGTTGCTGCTTGATGTCAGTGGAATGGTGATCATGAATGAATGAATAGGATTCTGGGTATGAGATGAGGTAAGGGGAGTGGAGATCTTCGTTCTACTTAGACTTCCCTCTTCCCGGTTTCCGTTCGATTGGGTTCTGAAGGGATCATCCATGATCGATATGTATGTATCTGTATGTGTAGAACGTTACAGTCGACCGAAGGGAAACATCTCCAGATTGATGAGAGGATTCTGGGGTAATGATTACCTGTTAGTGTTGTAGAATCAGAAGAAAAAGCCAAAAGCAGTGATTTTGGCGTCCTCAGGCCGCAAGCGGAATAGCCCGGTGGAGTGATTTTTTGGCTGGACTCTTTTTCCCTTTCCTTCTGGACCCTCTTGTTACTCAACCTCCAGAAGTCACTTGCCCTTTTCCCTTTCCTCACGCGTTGCCTTTTTCCCTCGCTCTTCCATTCCTTCCTCCTTCTCCTCCTCCACTTTTCTTCATACCGCACCCTCGTTTCTTCATTGATCCGCCCTCTCACGACCACGTACGCTCCGGGAGGTGACTTCGTAGTAATATAACTCCTGTGTCTCTCGTTCTCTCATCCTCGAACCCTTCCGAACTCCCCGCTCTCGCTTCCTTCGACTTTCGCTTCTTTCCTATATAGATATGGTGGGCCGCCTGTTCCTGTGAGGTCTGCGTCTACTCCGACGGTCTCCACTACAATTCTACTACTCCTCACCATGGCACATTGGTCGTTGGCCTGGACGGCCAATGTCCCGTCGACATCGCGACTCTTTCATCTCCTCCTGATTACCCTCGTTCTTTCGCTTTCCGTCCGTGCCGACGATGACACCACTCTGATACCTACCGCCGCATCGGATAGCTTCCCTTCGTGCGCTTTGAGCTGCTCCATCCTCCAACAAGCGCAGACGGGCTGTGTACCTCCGACGGCCCAAAAAACCGACCGCTCGACCTATGTCTCTTGCTTTTGCCAATCGTCATTGATCACCCAGCTGCATAACTCCGCGGACGGGACATGCTCCGACACCTGCACCAACGCAGACGACCGCAAGAAATTACAGACATGGTATAGCGACTTTTGCGCGTCTGGAGGCCAAAACAAGGGTACTGCTGCATCAGAAAGCACTGCCGCGGCGTCAACGTCAACGTCAACGTCCACGTCTACCACCAAATCACAAAATTCCTATCCCGCCCCTAAATCCTGGTATGTACCTGGCGGAATGTATTTTCCGCGCCCGTTGTCACTCCCCTGCTGACCTTTCTAGGTGGTCGACACATTACCAATGGGTTATCATGGTAATTGTCCTGGCCGTTGGATTCACGGCAATCGCGGTCGTGGGCGTGTGGCTTAAGCGCCGCCACGACGCGAAATACCCCAACCTCTACCACGCGGGCAGTGGCAGCAACAGCGGTAGTAACAGCGGGCTCCTCTATAGCCGCGGGCAAAACGCCAGTCCTGGTCCAAAACAGCCGGGCCAGTTCATGCCGGCTCCAAGCCCCATCAACCATGATGAATATGCTAACACAGATTCCGTGGCCAGCAGCTCTCGCACCGAAGTTGCCGTTCCTGGACCTCGTCCATCACGTCCTCAAAGGACCCCGCCTCCGCGGACGTAGGCGATATTGAAACTCGCGAAGTAACACGGTGATGCTCGGGCCTACCCAGTTTTGCTATATCCACTCTTTCCCAAGCAGAGCGTACTCGAACACAGCATCTAGTGAATTTTTCAATAGGGACGTTGTATAGACAAAAGCTCCCGGGCACGATGTAATGCCTCCAACCTGTCTATTCCAACGTTGTGTGATCGATACTCACGCCTGCTAATCTCGCATATGTATCCGGCGTTTTGCGTGCTCGACTGGCTTTTCCTTTTGCTTCCTTTCTTTCCACTACCTGGACCAATCTCGTACAAATTTTCCGTACATGATACCATATGGGGTGTACATGTTTTCTGAACTGCGTTGCATGGCTGTGGCAGAACATAGTAATCTTTTCCTCTGTGGAGGCTGGGTCATCTTTCTTCGTCGCTTATATTTGCCTGGACATGTCTTTCCTTTCTTCATGATGTCTCCTCGTCTCACCCAGCATGAGATCAATGAATTGCTTGCCTGGATGTGACAT